GAGCCAGGATAGGCATTCTTGAGGAGATAACAGCATGTGCAGAAAGACAGGGGAAAGGTCACAGACTGAATCTTGATGTGTGTGTCTTCCTGTTTGCCTCTTGTTTTGACTAATTCTCTCTTTTTTCTATCACAAGAATTTTGACCTTGTGAGCTATATTTCGGTACTCCTACTAAACAGGTGTTTTCTATTGGAGGCTACCATTTAGAAGAAGGTTGTGAATAAATAAGAGATGTATGGGATGCCTCAGAATGGAGGTTTTAAAGAGGGGTCACTCTTGAGTCAGCACATCACCAAGATCTGAGCTTTCCTTCCCATTACAGTCCCGAGCCTTCCTGAAGGACTATTACCGGGACCATAACATCGAGCTTTCCAAGCTGCTGTACAAGATTGGCCAGACACTGCCCACCTGGCTGCGGGAGGACCTCCAGAACACCAGGTAGCTGTGGCCACCATAGCCAGACTGAATGTTTGTGATGGCAGGATGTCCTGCCACACGCTGAGCCAGACTGACCTGCAGAGTGGAGATTGGGCCCAGGGCTGGCCAAGCACTTACGAGCAATACTCTGCTGAGGCCCACACGGGGCCAGGAGAAGAGCCCAGGCAGGTCCACAGCGCCTGAGAGTGTCCACTGCTGGGTCTGTGGCCAACAGGACCTTCTAACCACCAGAGGTCCATTCTGTTCACAGCTTCTCCTAGGGCGCCACTTCATGTTGGTGGATGGGCACTTCCTGGTAGGGGGGGGTCCACAAAGCTCTCTCTTCTGTCCCTCACTGTGTTGCCCCAACCATCCCTTCTCCTTCATCCCGTCGTTCCCTGTTCCAGCAGGGCATCCCCTCAGTATTAGCTGCCATATTTTCCCTGTCCTCTGACAGTAAGGGAGAAGAGCCCAGTTGGGTCTTTTGCCAAACCAGGGAGAGAGACTGGACATTGCCCTGACTTGTTTCAAGCCAGGCTCTTCAGAAGGGTCAGCTGGATCCCCGGAGTCAGCCACTTAGCTGGATGTGAGGGTGGCCATCTCGAGAGAATGCTGAACCTAATACCTTCACATCTCACCTTTCCCTTTTGAGGAAAGACTCTCCGGTTCCTACAGTATCTACCCAGTCCTCATGGCCTCCTGCAGGGCCCTGGGGCACTGCCATGCTGTTTGAGCCCAGAGACCAGGCCTTAGCTGGACCCCTTCTTCACCCTGGGATATGACACGTGTGGTATTTCCTGTGGTAAAAGACTGAGGCGGTTTAGGAGTCTGCCAGTATACATGTGACCATGTACAGGTGTGTCCCCACACCCACCCTGCCTCGGCCTCTGGCAGCCACGGGCAGAGCCAACTACTGCTTTGCCCCAGCTTCCTGTAGCCGAGGGTTCCCAGACACCCCCCACCCCCTTTTAACCTCCCAGATACTAAGAAGCTAAAGTATTTTAATATTTTGGGTTTTTTTCTTGGTGCCAGAGTTTATACCCGGGTGCTGGGGTCGCACTGTGTTTTTTCTATATATATATATAATATGTATATATATATATATATATATTATATTTTTTTTGGTTGGGTTTGTTTTTAATTCAGTTGTACAAAAATGGTGGTAAGCCCCTGTCTCAAGGGGTGTTCTATCTTAGTGCTAGAGAATGAGGCGGAAGGGAGGGAGGGTATGTCTTTATGTGTCTGGGGCCTCACGGAGACAGACAGTATGAAGGTACCCTCAGAGAGGTCTCTCTTTGCTCTCCCCAGTGCCATGGCTGTCCTGGAGCCACCATAAGTGAACAGAGGTGGTGAGAGGTACAGGGAAGCCCTATTCTTTCCAGGAAAGGCTTCATGAAGCCCAGTGACCCTGGGGAAATTTTGGCCAAAGGAAACAGCTGGGGCTGGACTAGGAGCTGGGGCCAAAGCTGGCCCATCACCTCTCCCTCACATGGTGCTAGGCTGGGAGCTGCTCTAGGAGATAGGGTGCCCACTGGGACCCACAGCACTGTCTCCAGGCCCCTGTAGACAGGGGGATCTCTGGGCTGATTTCTGGCTGGAGTCTGCTCCTCTCCCCCCTTAACAATGTGAAGTAACTGAGGCTGGGGTGCTTTTCCCAGCCCCCTTCCAACTGCCAGTTCAGCTTTGAATTGACACCCAGGAAGTACTTTCTGGAGAGGCTTTTCTTGTTCAGAAGACGTTAGCAAGTTGGGCTGAAAGAGTCCTTTGACGGGTATGAAGCAGGTCCAGAAAGGGGAGATGACCTGCTTGGCTCGTCATGGAGCTGGCTGGGAGCAGGGCTGAGCATTGAACCCAAGGCTCCCGATTCCAAGTCCAGTGCTCTTCTTCCAATGCCACACTGCCTCTGAGCCCATCTGAGGACCCTGCTCTGTGCCAGGTTCCTGTCCCTCCCTCTGTCACAACCGTGGTCATTCCAGGATATGGGGACAAACCACTCCTTCCCAGCCAGGGTGCCTTTGAGCCTTCCCATTCCCAGGTGTGTGTTTGCATCACTATCTTGTTCTCCCGCCTTAGAGGTCTTTCCCCAGCCCACAGGGCCTGGGTCTATTCTGAGCTGATTCTCTTTCCTCAAGTTCTCCACTAGGGTGGAGAAGAAGT